GATAAGCAAACGGTATTACAGAGACACCCTAAGTTGCCAAAATATCCTAAATATCCTTAAACTTTAAGATAAACCCCAGAGCTTAACTTCTTAACTTCTGTTTTAACTGTCTGTTTTCATTGTTTTGTGCAGTGATAGGCAGCACAGTTCACTGGAAGTAGCATAACGATGTTATTCATCTACAGCATTTTAAAAGCCCCAGACGCTGCAGACACAATCACCGCCCCTCTTATTACCTTTGTGTGTTATTGTTGATGAAAACTCGTCAGATAAAAAATTACAGTGATGGTGGTGAATAATGAGGAGACGGAGCTGAGCGTGTGTTGTTTATTAGGAGGAATAACATTAGCGCGCTCGGCTAAAGCGTTTGGGTATTGAAAGTGAAACTAGGGAGCATAAAACGCTGATAAACAGCACAAAACGCTGACATAATATTCTTACCTTTAAGTTATCGCCCTTTAGTTTTGTTTGACCTTTTTTACATCAGTAACGGTAGCTAACGTTAGCTGTCTGACTAACTAACTTGTTTACGTTTCAGCTGTGCGCATGGTCGGATGCTAGGTAGCAGACGCGACAGTTGATTGTCGACTTCAGTCGAGGAAATTGAGATTTCCTAACTTGAGATAAAAGATGCTGTAAGATAAGATTCTTAAATTAAGATAAGATTTGCTTCTGTAATACAAATTTGTGAAAAATCTTATCTTGACCTGTCAGATCTTAAGTTAACACAAAAAGATACAAACTTTCTATAATACGGCCCCTGGGCTCTGTTTTTATTTCTGTGTTACACTTTTATGATCACAGGTTTATATTTTTTTCTTTTCAGTCTCTTATTTTATAACGTTCAGGTACAGTGTAAATGAAGGTCTCCGTCAATGTACCCTGAGTTTAAATAAAGGCTGATTGATATTTGGTCTCCTATGTTTAGTACACTCCCTTCTGTTTTACTGTCCCTCACTTCACCATGGTTGTTGGAATTCCAATTTTGGAAGTGGGCGTAACATTATTGAAAGATTCTTCAAATTAAATAAGACAATTTATTTTTAGGCTGTTCTTTGGAGATGGCTGCACTTTTACGGTTACTTTATTTTAGATTACAAGCTATTTGGTATGCTTTCCAGAAGAAGCATAAAGTACTTCCTAGAGATTTTCCAGGCTGTGAAAATTACTGTGCACCAGTAAGCTGAAATTCATTACAGGGCCCTCTAAAGCTTGCCTGTGTAACTAGACTATTTTAAACTTCAAATCATAAATGTAAAGCATCTGACCCTTCAGCTTCCTAGAGTTTTTCCAGACTCCCATGTTTAGTGCGCTCCCTTTTGTTTTACTGTCCCTCAGTTCACCATGGAACTCTGATTGGAACCAAGTTACATGATTTGTTGAAACTAGAATGAAATTCTGATCACCACCACTGATTCTTCTCTGTGAAGTTTGGAAGATGTCATATTATACTCTGATTCCCTATTCCAGTCACTCAGCAATACTTTGACAGCAAATGTATATTAGGGCACTGTCATAGTACAGAGATTGAACTAGTTAAAGTTAGGAACAATCTGTACTGTCCTCCAACCAGGGGTGTTTTTCTTTCCTCATGCTATTTGATGTAAGTGAGTGTGCTTTGTTACAGCACAAGTAATATCTGCCTACGTTGTTTTAGTGAATACCTACTGCATTCAGCCCTAAGCTTTTCCACAAGTCTATGAAATATAATCAGCATTTATTTAGTAAGTGAGTATCTATTACATTTAGATTCACATTTCTTTTAACACACACTTAATGTTAATGGATGAACACAATAATGCTGGTGAGTCTTTGTCTTTTGAGCAAAGGTTTTTGAAAAATAAGAACAGGATCTTTACATTTCGGAGCTTAAAGTTACAGTTTGCTGCTGATATTGTAAATGAAACAAGGATGCTCTTACAATAGTTGTAAAGACTAAAATCTCTAAAGACTGAAGGTCAAAAGTTCCATCAATAGATACTCTGGAAAAATGATCCTTATTCAGATTCTTGCTTCACAGGTGCTTTGATGCTGCATTCAGTGTCAAAATGAATACTACTGATTGACCAAGCTACATGCCATTGGGTTTTGCAACACATGCTACAGAGGAGACAAACTGTTACGTTGCGTAATTCTTCCTCTCTTTAAAAAGAACAAGGAGATGGAGGGGAATTATAGACTCAGTATCTCAATTTTGTTCATATTGTACCAAGGTCATGGAAAATATTCTTTAAGAAAAGAGTCAAATCTTAAGTCAAAATACACTGTATGAGCTACAGAGAGTCCGCTCTAAAGAAAATTGACCTCTACTGACCTTATCAAAAAGGAGGAAAGTGTAAGTAATTTTAGTGGTATGGTCATGGCGGACCAAACATTTCTAGAAATTTGAAACACAGCAGATCATGACATTTTACAGTATAAACTAAAAGCATTTTAGTGAGATGGCCATTACATGAGTCGAATCTTATCTTGCCTTAGGTTCACAAAATATGGGAAGTTTTCAGACCTTAAGCCTGTGTGGAGTCCCTCAGGGTACACTTATAAAGTGATAAGTAATGAGATGCTACTTTTTCCAATAAGTAACTAGTAGAGTAATCCCATTACAGTTTGAGAGCAGTATTTAATAACTTGTAATGGATTTCATTTTTTGAGTTATTAGCCCAATACTGGAGCTATCTATACTAACTTTAATGCTAGCATTATGTACAGTCTGCTGAGTTTGTGCAGCACTTACTGAAAAAACAAAGGTTAGCTTTGGGAGTGCAGTGACAAACTTGGTGGCCCTTGGCTTCTGGGGCCCTAGGTAGCTGCCTACCTCTACCTAGTGCAAAGACCACCCCCTGTGCACGTTTAGAGGATAAAGATTCAAACTTGAGCAAGTAAACCTGTGTTTGTGTGTGGCACTGTGATCTTAAGCTACCTTTGGTTCACCCGTTTAGCATCAGAGGCTAACGCTATCTTAGCAAAAAGGCTAAAACAACTTCACACACTACCAGCAATTCCAGCTCAGTGAAGCTGCACTGAGGCAAGTTTGGAGGATAAAGAATAAAATCTGAGAACCTGAGTGACAGAAAAACAGGATCTTTCTGATTATTAAAGTTAGAGTGGGAACTTTGTTTCTGCCTTGACTCATAAAACAAAGAGAGAATGTGCAGGTTAGTGAGGGAAAGGGGCAGAGTTTAGAAATAGGGAGGCAAGGGGATGGTTACAATTTGCATAATCACACATATTCTGAGATCTTTACTTCTTAATGAGTGTTGAGGTTTAGGGATGCTTCTGTGTCATTTTAGTTGTTTATTGGGCACAACAATAATATATTAAAATATTGAACAATTTATTATTCAAGATAAATTTAATTTTGTGGTTGACTGTGGTAAATTATGACTAAGGGTACTTTAAACAGTAACAAGCAGAGAATAGTTTTAAAAATGTTCTAAAGAAATGGTAGCTAAAAAGGTATGATAGTGTAAAGTTGTTCTCCACCTGTCTATCTGTTTATTTATTAACTTTGGAATTAATACAATAAAGCAGTGGTCACTGTAGAACTCTTAAAAGTGGTGACATTTTTTCAAAGCAAATGGGGACAACTATGTAGTGTGGGTATGGGACTCTTCCTCCTGGCAAATCCTCTGTCTAGACCCAAACACTTCCTTCTGTATTAATCCCTCTGGCTCTTCCTGTACTCGTCACTTCGAATCTAACAGCTAACATGGTGGTTAACAAACTGGTGAGGTGAAAAAGAAATACAGAAATCAGAAAATCCACATCCAATCTGTGGTTTTAGCTGTTAGTGCTGGAGAGAGTTTCTCCTCACTGTGTTTGGCACAGTTTGGTGTGTTTTCAGCAACATAAAAATAAAGCTGAGTTATTGGGCCCACCAATAAACCCACTGAAGAAGAAGCTGGTGACGTAAAATTCTATCTTCTTGCCAAGTTTTCTTTTGTTTGTAACATACTTTGCTCTATCTACAATATTGTTCCAGATTGCACACAATGAAGTAATTTGATGAGCAAGTCTGTTATACTGCTTTGCAGGCAGTTCGTCACAGCTCTCTTTGTGCATGTACGCAAATGTAGAAAATAAGGAAAGATATCCTTTTAACAGTATAGACGCACTGAATAACCGGTTTATTTGGCTAAAGTCCAGTTGTCTTGAAATCCTTGAAATATGACAATGGCTTTAATTTGATACATGGGTGCCACCAGGGATTTTAAGTGTCATGAATAGATATCACATTGGGCACCACCACCCACCACCACAGGCCACTCCAACTCTGATATATAAATATAACACTGTGCAGACATGCATGTAGCATTCTGCATACAGTTGAATTCACTATTTAATGAAAGACTGATACTGATCTATAAGAAAGTTGCTATAGGCCACTTTTTGCCAAGTTTTAATATAATTTTAATGGTAAAACTCTTGAATGCAATATTTGAAAATGAACTGTGGAAAAATAATTACAGCTTTTGAATTCTTATCATTGAAAAGGATTTAATCATTTTCTTTTTTTCAGTAATAATAATTTCTGTTGATATGACCACTTCAATAATCTGAGAACTGCTGAAATTAGATAATGATCTTATTAGTGCGTAAGTGTACACTCCCATTGCAGTATTTGACACCAAAGGTTATACAGTTTTTGGGATCAGGGGTCAGGCAATTTTTGGGATCAGGATCAGGGGCCAGTATTTACTGAATGTTTGTACTGTTGTCACCATCCACTTGTCTGCTGCTGCTCTGTATTAAATGTAGCACTGTGTTCTGGAGGAGCTATATTTCACTCTTCTCTTAACACACAACTGTGATGAGAAGGAATGTCACATTTGACTTGAACTGTATTTTTCAATCTTACAAGCTGATACATAATTGCAATAAATCTGGAGCAGAGTATTAAGCAATGAGCATGTGGAAATACAACACAGAACTCAGCAACCTGACAGGTTACTTTAAGTGTCTGTGCTTAATGTAATGCAATAAAGGGCTTTAATTCCTACCTTGAATTAAGCTAAATATGTACAACAGAAGCAGTGGTATTAGCAGAAATCCGGAGGGAACCAGTATTCCAATATTTTGGCTTCCCTGATATAACCGCCACGAATGCAGAGCAAGACCTAGAACACGAAGAAAACAACAGATCAATGTTTCCTGCTCCTGCTGCTGAGGACCTACTGCCCTGCACTATACCCTGTCACAGTCAACCTGATCAAGCTCATGAAAGGCTTGATATTCAGCTGATAATGAGCTGGATCAGGTATGCTGAGGCAGGGAATAGTTAAAACTGTGCGGCGGAGGAGGATTAAAAACACTGAAATAAACCATGTCATTTAAATCTCATGTAAGCCTGTACCCAGCCAGAACAGCCTGTTGAGCCCAAATGAAGGAAACCAGTGTATTTTATTACTGACACTGACAATGTTTACATTTCTGAACAATATTATTGTTTCTTAAACTAGTTGCGTAGATCACCACAGTAAGTCTCTTTTACAAGAAACTAGATTTGTTCAAATCAAATTCTGAGAATATCTGTATTTAGTGCTTGAGGCCTAGTAAAGGTTATAGCTTAATGTGTAATCAAACACCAAAAACCAACTGGAACTTAGTAGACACTTCAAAAGGTAAACCTATCTAGTATCAGGTGTGCTTCCTAAAGAAGGCCTCTAGCACACAGTGTCGCATAGATACGTTAAATGCTCAGTATAGCACTGCGGTTTGGGCATATATTTCTGCAAACGCACTGAGAGACTATTGACTCCTAGTGTTCGTTAGCAATGTTAGCCTAGCAGCTCCTGTTCTAAACTAAAGAAGGAAAATTTGAGAAACAAACATGTTGTGGCTGACTGCATTTGGGCTAAGTGGAAAATCATATACATTTGATTTTTTGCCAAACTATTCCCATATGGAAATACTATACAGATTTATTCCACTATTTCTTCAAAATTGTTTATGTATAAATAGTATAGCTCAGCCAAACATTGGCTCTAAAAAAACGTGACGATTTAGTTATACATGACAGATGATGCATTAAGGACACTGAACTGCACACTTATTTTTTTAAAAGGCAGTTGTGCTGCTGACAGTGCAAGCTGCTGTTAAGTATACTTGCTTCCATAGTTTTATGATTGTGTGTATATATGAATAAACTGTAACCTGTCCATAAAATAATTTATGCATACGTACCTGAATAAGCAAAACTAGTTATCACAGCATACCCTAGTGTGATTGCTGATTGTTTAATGAATCTTCTGATGTTTCCTGTAAGACAACAAGCCCACAACTATAGTCATTATTTTCATCAGGGAAACATTATAAATATACATTCCTTGTATATATACACACACACACACACACACACACACATATATATATATTTTTTTCCCATTTGTTTTATTTTCAAGTAAATAAAACAAATATCCAGGAAATGTTAATGTTTCTTCATAGTAACTGCCCATTATTCCACATTGCTCAGTAAAACATACCTTGCCATGTTTTTAGATAAGGAGCAATCCAAAACAGGAAAAGAATTCTTAGCAGATTAAGAGCCGAGCAAGTGGCAGCCTCGGTGAAGAACCCTGGAGCAAAACAAACAGCTTTAATAAAGTGTCCTTTACATTTCAAGTCAAAACACAAGGTGTTACACCAACAAAAATACAGTAAGCTAAACAGAAAGCATTTTTGTTTCAGCCACAGTTGTGTCTCTGTACTCCAGAACTACTGAATACACTGTAAGTCAGAAGTAGAGGTGGTCAGCGGTATGTGACGGTACTAAAATCTTCACAGCTCAAATATATGGACTGCTGAGGTGAATGTTTTGAAATTTGAAGGTTTACACAATACAGCAACTCTTATTGTATCAAAAAAGCGAGGAAATTTAGGTTTTATATGGGCCTCTTTAATAACACGGGAAAACATCGTAAGGCATCTGGACCACTACTCCACAAAGAATATTAACAGATTCAGAGTCATCGGTCCTTGCTTGTACAATCTAGCCTTTAGCACACTCCACAGGCTTTTGATTGTGTTTTACTCAAGAATTCAAGAGAAAACCTAAAATGTTGCCAAAAATGCTGCAAATTAGGCTGCATCTCAATTAGCTCAATCATTTCTGTTGGAAGACCACTTCTAGGAAGGGTAAGAGTGGTGTTGAATTCCCTCCATTTGTACACTATCTGTCTGATGGTGGATTGGTAAAGTCTAAACTCTGGTGAAACTCTTTTGGAACCTCTTCCAGTCCAATGGCAAATGTTTTTCAGAGGTCCTTAGAAATAACATTTAACTGAGACATGGCATGTGCTAACAAATGTGTTTTGTTAAGGCCAGACTTTGATGGTGGTTAATGTTTGAAATAGGACAGGGTCAACTGCACTCATACCTAAATGCCACCCAATTGATTCAGGTGGTTCACATACTTTTGCCAACCAAAATATAAGGGCCACTTAGTTAAATAAATGAATGAAAAACAATATAATTGTTTGTGTAATTCGCTTCATTAGGTTATCCTTATCTATTGTTATAATTTAAATGAGGATCTAATCAAATTTTAGGTCACACTTATGTAGAAATTCACATAATGCTAAAGCGTTCGAAAACTTTCAAGCAACACTGTATTCATTACATTTTTATGTTTCTTGTCTCTTAGCTAAATGCCTTATTATCTTAAGTAACATTTAATAGTCTGTGTTCAGTACTGTTCAGTATGTTACATGTCATATATGTGTGTACTCACCAAGACAGATTACTTGGTGAAAGAAAGTGATTCTGATTCTGTTATTTTTTTTGGACTTGGACTTTTCTGGAAAGCTTCTTTGTGACAATTGTAATTGTAAAAAGGGCAAAACAAATCAATTTGAATTAAGAACTTTTTAGCAGGAGAAGAAGGGGTTGAAGGGGAGGAGGGATGGTTTCAGGCTACAGAACTGTCTGAGAGCTATGAACTTTGACCTTTTTTCTCTGCAGCAGACAGCTTTAGTGCAACAGATGTGATAAAGTAATAATAAATAATAATTAAAAAAATAAATGACGTTGAGCTTTTTCTTTCAGTTTCACATGAGTTCAGGCATTACAAACAGCTGACAGTGAATATCTCTGTCAAACTGAATAATACAAAATAATTTCAAAATAATATTTCAAAAATATTTCAAGGCCTTTCTTGCTTGCTATAAGAATTTCAGCAACAAAACCTGACCAAGAGAACAGAAAATTAATAAAAATATGTCAGCCTTATGCTAACCATATGTTTATTCATATAAACCATAGAATGAACACCTTCACATTTTTTAAATTAGAATATTTAATTATGAGCTCAGTATTGTGAATGGAATCAAATGATTTTGAGCTTAGTTTGTCAGTACACTCCTAGAAATTAACCACAAAATTATATGAGTATATGAAAACATACTGAAAAAATTAGTTCCAAACTCTTTACATCTAACTCTTAACTATTAAAATACTAAAACTAATCTGCTTTGCTAAGATAACGACATGTGGTCAACATTACTCCATTTCCCCTTGGTCAGAGACACAATAGTATCATCATAATGTTCAACCAGTGCTCGTTGGTTAAGGAGTTTTTTTGAAATAAAAGCCTTGCTGGCATAGTTATTAAGAGTTTTTAAAATAACTAATCACAATGCTTACCCTCAGTGACGCCCCAAAGGATGAAGGCAAGGCACATAGTAATGTTCGGACAACAGACAAGTGTGTACTGTACAGCTAAGGCTCTTCTGCTGTCGTCTACAGAGGAAACACAGAATTTGTGTTTGAGTGATGATAATAAGTTAACAGAAAGTTACACAAAAATATTGTTGAAGTCAAAAGCAATCAATTGAAAAAATGACTTACCATTTTTTGTTAAAGAGGTAGACGCTGGATAGCTTAGAAAAACCGGAAATACAAATGCCAGCACACAGAGAAGCAATATCCCTGTGTGCATACTGGAAAAACCTGTAGTAGAAATACAGAATGATTATGCTATGATCAGCTAAATGCTCTTTTGTGTATGCAGGCTGATGTAAACTTTTCAAATGACAATGTGTTTTTATTTGATTAAGGTAGAGCATATGACTTTATCGTAACTTGTTGTGTATGTTAAGTTTTTGAGTTTCAAATTTAACATTTTGCGGAAACAGACGTAATGAAATCTCATCGCCTTAATGTTCAGATAAAACAAGTCAGAAATCTTTTACCCTCATATCATATACTCAACAAAATTGAGATTACTTGTTTCACTACTTGTGGCTCCAAAACTAAATATGCAAACTTCAACCACCACACGTCTTTTCTAATAGATTGGTACCTACAAACCCCATTCCCGGAAAAATTGGTACGTTTTGTAAAATGCAAAAGAAACAAGAAGTTCCTGTCTTTGCAAGCACGGTGGTCATGGCTCACCATGTTGTGCCAAACTTCATGAGAGAATTGTCAAACAGTTAAAAAAAAACTCTCAGCACAAGATGGTAAAAAGATTCAGGGAATCCAGAGAAATCTCAGTCTGTGTAGGGCAAGGTTGGAAACCACCACTGAATGTGTGTGACCTTCAAGCCCTCAGTTGGCACTACAGTGTCATGCTAGTAATACATATAGTCACATGGGCTCAGGAGTACTTTGGAAAATCGTTGTCACTTAACACAGCCCGCTGCTGCATCAAGAAATGCAACTTGAAACTCCATTATGCAAGGAGAAAGCCATACATGAATTCTATGCAGAGTTCTCTGGGGCCAAGCTCATCTCAGATGGTCTGAAAGACCATGGAAATGTGTGCTATGGTCAGATGAGTATACATTTTAGCTTGTTTTTTTACCTTTCATTCTACCTATAAAAAACTTGTAATCGATGCTATGCAAATATTGGCTGTTAAATTAATGATACCTACGTGGTGGTGGTGGCTGGGGGGTTGAGTCAAATGTGTACATACAGTATGTACAAATGATTCAATACGTGCTATTTACACTAGCACATATTGAAGTATACTGTTTTGCACTTCTATCTTAATTCTGTATTGTGTTTCTGTCTTTTTAGGCCTCAGTACTGGCTTTTGTTTCTGTCAGCATCTCAGCTCAAAGGCAGTTTGTACTATTTGTACTAGGATACACCAAAACTCTTTTGAAAGGCCCTCTGGATAAGAATGTCTGCTAAATGCTGAAAATGTAAATGTCAAATAACACTTAAAGAGTAACTACACCCTAATACCTTTTTTTTTCATTAACAGCTGAAATGCACTGCTCTGTAGTAATAAAATATAGCAGCCATGCTTAAAATGTGAACACATCTTTCCAAACTGTAAAAATATAATTTTTATCTTGGTCAGTTCCGTCTCTGAAGCGCCTGTAACGAAGACCAAAGGTGATCTGGAATCGCACGAAATTGCACCCCACACCATGACACCAGGCCTTCTGGACGTGTGCCATGTGACAACAAACTGTTCATCTTGGCGCTGACCACGGTGCCTCCACACATGGATTCGTCGGTCGCCTCCACCAAGACAAAAGCAGGACTCGTCACTGAAGACGACCCGCTGCCATTCTGAGTCACTTCAGGACAGTCTGGCACGACACCATTGCAGTCTTTGGCGATGTTGACGTGGTGTTAAAGGCAGTTGTCGTAAGGTCTGTGTGCATGTAGTCCTGCGTCATGCAACCATCTGCAAATGGTGCTGTCACTAACAGGATGACTCATGGAGGGCATCACTGCTCACTGAACATCCACAATCGTGGCTGCTGGGTCACTTTGCGCATGTCAGACAATCCGTTGGTCCTCCCTCTCCGTGGTTCATGTACGTCTTCCAGATTCTTCATGTCACTGGTGCATGCTTTCCACTCCTTCCACTGCTGCCAACAACATTCTAACATCTGCATGACCAGTATTGTGTGCAATACATCAATAAGACCATCCCACTTATGTGACGTGTGGCCGAGCGTAAAACTGGAACCATTTGCATGTCTTATGATGTGAAACCTACCCACCAAGCTTCATACATATTTATATATATATATATATATATATATATATATATATGTAGTTTTCATGTTTTTGTTACATAATGGGAAACAGCAGACATGGGTACTTGAGCAGGGTACATAGTGCTGAGTTCTGATTAGTAAATGCATCTTGCTGTACTTCACTGACCGGTGGACAAAAAGCCTTTAGGTGGCTGCAGCTTTATTCTGGACAACGCTGTCATCTGATCCCAAAGACGTATGGTTGAGATCTTGGGACCTTGAAGGCCACTGAAGCAATGCAAACTCACTGTGATATTTCTGGAACCATTTGGTGATGAATCTAGATAAACTGAAGCCATGAAGGGGGAACTTGGTCACTAACGATCTTGAGACACAGTGCCATACTGGTGCTCGTTAATGAGGACCAGTGTCCATACTGTTTGTCAAAAAAAAAAACATTCCCAACATCACACAACTACTATGATGGTCACAATAAATGTGAATGATTCCATGAGTACTGGAGATCTCTGGACACACTAAGCTTTCAGTCAAATCATCAGGGGTGTGATTTCTCAACAGAGTACTGTGAAGTACTGTAAAATGATTAACATCCACTCCAAGAGTGAATGGATTCAATGTTTATACATCATAACATAGTTTAAGTAATGAGACTGATTGAATGACTTTTCACATCTACAATACAGGCTAGTTACAGTCACCACTAATGTGCTGTGTATGTATGACATACTATGTAGTCTGGAGTTTTTTTTTTATTAAAATATTTCTTTAAACCAACGCTAAATGATGTTGGGACTGTCTGAAGAATGCTACAGGACTCCTTTTGTCTACAAACATGCTGCATCTCACTGGTTTTTATTCAGTGGCACAACAGCATACTTGAATAAAACATCTAACTAATATTTCAATTTGTAGATAAATGTACGAAGAGATTCTGTAACAGAAGTCCACTGTGTCTAGACTAGGTATCACCCTGGACAGGTCGCCAGTCCATCGCAGGGCAGACAGACAGACATACACACACATTCACACACACTGCTAGGGGCAATTTAGCACGTCCAATTGGCCTGACTGCATGTTTTTGGACTGTGGGAGGAAACCGGAGTACCCGGAGGAAACCCACGTAGACACGGGGAGAACAGGCAAACTCCACACAGAAAGGACCCTAGTCGCCCGGCCGGGAATCAAACCCAGGCCCTTCTTGCTGTGAGGCGACAGCGCTACCCACTGCGTCACCGTGCCGCCCAGTCATGGACTATGTACGTTAAAATGTAATGTTTTGTAGCAAGACAATAAATAATGACATGGAGCAGTAAATAATAACCAAACGGACACTTTATTTCAGCAAGCTTAGGCAGATTAGGTCTACCAATCTAAAATCAGGTCAGGAACTGAAGGAGATGCGATGACTGGTGGTTTAATGGCGTTTTGCCATCTGCCATTTGCTGCTCTTCTGGCATAAGCCAGTTCACCTCTGCCACTAGATCACACTGCTTTATCAGTGATCAGATCTGCACTGGACTTTGTATCTGAATTTAACCTTTACATTTAAAAATAGACAGAATTTTGACAAAAAAGTGGATACCACACAAAAAACGAACAGTAGGAAACTATCAAAATACCAATCAATAGCCTGTCAATTACATCCAAATGTCATCCTAATCTTATTTTACCCAAGTACATGTACTTCAGCAAGATAATGATGGATTTGTACTCTTGTTCTACTAATTACTTTTTGTGTTTTGTACTTTAACTTATGTCTAGATTTATTTCTATTTTCTATTTTTCTGCATAGCATATTTAAGTTTATGTGCAATTATATGTCTTGCTACTGAAACACTGCAAGTTCCCTCTGGGATCAATAAAGTTCTCTCTTTCTTTCTTTCCTTCTTTCTTTGTTTCTATCTATCTATCTATCTATCTATCTATCTATTAATTTCATGATGTTTTGTCAGTAAAAACATCTTTACTGCTTTTTGTATTCATCTCATTTCTGACTTCTGACCTTTAGCTTTTTATTTTAGACCTAAGGAATCCCAAAGCCGTATGTCTTCAGTTCCTGTGCTGATAGATGTTGGAAGTTCTGACAAGTTCCACTGCAGTTCTTTAAGTTACTCAGTACTTAAGTAGGTTTTTTGACCTGATACTTTTGTACATAAAGTCAAAATGTTTTCTTTTTTTTTTTGGAAAGGTACTTTTACGTTTATTTGTTAAATTGTTTTACCCAAGTATCAATACTTGAGTAATGATTCAGGCTAGTCTACCCACCTACTTTAGTTTCTTGTTTAATGATGGGGAAGTACTGCTATGTGACTCCTTTTTCTTTTCAAGCACCTTCCCACAACACTTCTTGAATTTAAAACTTCAGAATATTAAAATTGTACACTGTTAGTTTAAAGAAAACTCAAAAGTCTTTTTATGTTAAACTTTTCAAGTCCGTTAGTGACTTATGACTGCGGTGCACCTCTATACACCTTACAAAGAGTACAAAAATGTTGACTTACCCAGCTGCTGCACTTCCACAGTTGTGTTAGCAGCAAACTCCCCAGAGAATGCTTCACATATATACAGGCCTTTGTCCTCAGTTCGGAGATCCTTCAGTCTAAATGAGAAATTTCCTTTCTGGATTTCTTCAGGGCTGAAGAACTCAACTCTGTCAGTGTATCTCTCATGGGTTGATTCAGTCTGGACCTCACCGTTTATGAAGATCAGCACTTGTATCTGCTGATCCACTTTCTTCCATGAGACCTCTTCAAGCTTTTCAGGTGGGACACTGGAGTCCACAGAACAATTCAGAGTGATGTCCTCACCCACATATGCAGACACAACATGACCTCCAGTCACAATCAAATACTCTGAAAAACAATCATTTGAAACAGTAGTGTTGAATTTAATTTTAAAGCCTCAGATCAGAATATACAAATAAAAATATGCAGTGTGTACTAGATTATTAGGTACCTTGTACCAGGTAGGAGATAGGAGCATTTTTAGATATGTTATCTGCCTTTCATTACCTCATCTATCAATGGAAGAAACCACTAACCAGAAACTATCAGTCTCAGCACAGCAGTGACACTGATGGTAGTGTACGACACTGGTACGAGCACATCAGCGTGTAGCTGGACTTTGTACACAGTCTGTAAGCTTACTGCCCTTATTATTAGAAATTTCTTATGGGTGACTTATGGGTGTTTGCTATGCATAATTTGTGTTAGCTATCCTTTATACCAGTAACACCACCGAGCCAGATACACTCATACCAGTGTTCCACACAATACCATGCCACTACCATGCCAGTTTCAATGCTGTGCTGAGAACTGCCTACAATCAAAAAATATTTGGTCAACAGCAGTCCTGTGTTCAGAAAGACCAGTAATGTATGTGATAGAGAGCTGATAAAATGCTGATAAACTGCGCAGGAAGAAATCAGCTACAATCAGTAATTGTAAACCTATATAATAGCACCTATAAGGTTTGTGTTCCTGATAAAATTGTCGATGAGTTTACATAAAAGATAAGTGTATCTTATAAACTGGCACCTCACTGTATCTCAAATTAAAATTGTTAGTAAATGGATTCAGCTAATTCATACAAAACAGGGACGCACAATCGGAAATGGTCAAGATTAGCAGTTTTTGGACCAAACACACAATAGGCATTACCACTGTGTTAATTTTGGCCAATTAATATACCAATTAATGAAATGTGTGGCAGGTATGAGTGCTGTATTTTAATGCTGCTGCTACTAAAATGTCATAGCTTACATATGCTTGACTATATTGTGTTAAATAAACAGCTGCCTCTTCAATGTGCCACTTTATTTGATTGTGTGATATGGAACTGATTTTTCATTTACTAATTTAAAGAGGCAGTTTGGTTCATTATGTTATTTATGTTGTAAAATTGGCTAACTATACTAGAATTGTGTTAATATGATCAATTTTTATATTTAACTAACAGAGGGTGAGTTTAAGGCTAATCAAATCAAGCAAAAGAAAATCTGAACATTTCTGGTAAAAAAAATCCATAAAAAGTCATGACCGGTGCATAATTTGTACTGATTGAACTTTCTCACATATTGTTCTTTATAAAATAAGACATCCTGTTCAGGATTTTACAGTCAAAATAATTTTCTATAGAACATTATTAAAATCAGTTTCACTCACCAATCTCCTTTATTTCAATTGATGTTTGACCAGTTTCCTGTTGTCTGTAAACAGAACAGTTGTAAACTCCTGCATCTTTAGTGGTCAGATTTGTGAGGAGGAGAGAGAAGTTTCCACGCTCAACCTCCTCAGTAAAGAAACTGGCTCGTCCACTGTAAGCCTGGTCCTGAGCCTCTGGTCGACTTTCTCCACCTTGAAACAAATGTACTAAGGTGTCAGAGTCTGTTCTCTTCCACTCCACTTCCAGCTCTTCCGGTGATATTGGGACTTCAACATAACAGGGCAGCATCACTGAGCCCCCCAGCTCCACAGTCAGAGGATCAGAGGGACCTAGCACATGGAGCCCTGAAAGAAGACAAAGAGTACTGTCTACATACATACATACATACATCATCTAAACCGCTTATCCTTCTGGGTGGCGGTGGGGTGCTGGAGCTTATCCCAGCTGTCATTGGGCGGAAGGCAGGATGCACCCTGGACAGGTCGCCAGTCCATCGCAGGAGCACTGTCTAGGTAAATTTTATTCTCTTAGGGTACAAACAATATAAGGTTGTTTTCACACCTTGTTAATTTGTTGAATTCCACACCAGAGTTTAGGTGTTTCATCTGGATCAGTATGTTTCACACTGCCATGGCTAAAGTTCATCTAATTACACACATGAGCGTTCTTTGATTGGGCAGAAATTCAGCAGGGATGCAAATGCTCAGTTACCTTCATATTTGCTTCCATGAGTGCAAAAAATGTATTTTATTATAACTTTCATTAGCCTATCACTCCATAAAGTCCAGATCCGCTGCTCACAGATTTTAGCCTCCTATCACAGACAGTACAGCGAACAAGAGTTCACTTGGAAATGAACCAAGACTTATTATTTTTGGCGGACCAAGGATCAGTTCTTTGGTGCTTACTCAAATATGGGTGGAGTATCCACACCTGAATACATTAAATGGGTTTGAAAGGTTCTACATTCACTCTCCAAGAGGAAAAGGTGCATATTTGAACCTTTTCAACTTTCATAACTTTTAAGCAGAAAAAAAGATAAAAAGCATGGGGTCAGGACAGGGTGGAGTCAAAGCAATTTAAAAATATTGTAGCATGTTCATAAATGTTTTACATGTTTAATTCTGGGTTAAGTGTTTTATGGCATTTATTTATTACAGTATTTATTGTAAAGGCAGGATTAGGCACTTTGTTCTGAGTTGATGCCTATAAAGCCGGAAAAACTCAGTCAGTCGGGGGCTTTGATGCGAGGAGTGCAGACATAGCCAAATGTGCTCTCCCCTGCTGGGGGGAGTGCCTTAGCCTGAGCTAATTCTTGAGCTAATTGTCAGCCTAAAGCCTGTTTGTGTGTGGCGAAGCTGTGGGCAACTACAGCTGTTAACAAAGCACAATGAATTGTGCATAAGCTGTATGTCCTTCTTTCATAGCAGTAAACGCTACAATACATAACTGCAGCGGAATATGGTATCATTGGGTTCTCTAAATGATGGGTTCCCAACCCCTGTCCTGAAGACCCCATATTCTGCACATTTATCCTACCCTACACACATGACCCAGCCCACAAGGAGCTTACAGCTCCCTTAGACTAAAACTGAGACTAAGACTGAGACATTTTTCATCTTGCACCATATATCATTTTGTTTTACACTGTATATATTATCTCATTGTGTTTATCTTTACATCTTTGGTCTTATTTATCTTTATTTTCTTTTTCTATTTATGTCCTTGCTGTCAATTCAGGAGCTGCTCAATGTTTTTTTCCTACATATTTAAACAATGACAATGCCTATCTATCTATCTATCTATCTATTTATCTAATAAGACAATGAGTTGAATTAGGAGAGAGTGTGTCCTGAAAATGCTGTTCTTTATAAGAGTGTACGTCATAATATGACACAATGTTTTGGCCTGGTATGCCTACAAGGTGTTTTATCTGCAAGGGCCAAAACACATCCTTTGAATATTTACATTAAAAAGGCATTAGCTGTTTCTCCTTCTTCATCCTGGTTTTCGTCCAAAAGACAAAAACAATTATAAAACACCTCCTTTGCCTTTAATGCAATATCTGCTTTAACCACTTTTCCTGCTTTACTTTCGTGTTCTTCAAATGGAAAAATAAAAACACTGGGATTATAACTCGTGCCCTAGTCCTCTACCCCTAATATACAGGCCTATTACTGAGTCAAGATGTGGGTCTATTGAATGTGACACATGATTGCTTGCTTTTTACTTTCAGGTTATAAATTTCGCAATTAAAACCTGTTTTCTCTTCAAATGCTCGACTCAAACACCATTTACTGTGTTACTGTGTCGCAGAAAGAGCATTTAAGATCATGTTTTATCTGGAGTGTAAGACGGAGACGCACCGTGCGCTTCCCCATTTCAGTCTGACTGAACTACATTAGACTCTCCTCACTGAAGCAGCTGTTTAAACGAAGTGTTTAAATCTCTGCTTACCGTCACAGATGAACAGAACTCCTGACAGAAAAAGACAAATTATTAAGCTCATCTTCACATCTGAAAGAAAGACGGTTCTGCACCAAACAATTTTACTTTCATTTCTCAGACTTGGGCGGGACAAAGGGGGGAGGCTGTCAATCACTTGACGACTCGAGCCAATCACAAATCAGCTACCAAACTAACGAGCCAATCACCAACAGGAATACAGCACTGAACGTCTCACTGAACTGATTCAGAATCGCAGTACCTGTGTTTTACTGATTTTACCAAATACTGCGCTGCATTCAGCAGCTCTACTGCAACACTAAAACTGCACTACTGTACAACCTGAGGGTGTATTAGCAATTTCGTTTTTTGTACTTGTTGTGGCAGATATTTTATCCTATTCGATTTAAATGGTGTTATTTCCTCAGTTCCACAAAGCCTCAGTCAGTATCTCTGTCTCTCGTCTCTCTCTCCACACTCGTTGTAACGGCGTGCTGAGCGGAGAATGAGGTCACACCCCCTTTGTTTCTGTTGTAATACAAGCTCCTCTGTTTTTATAGCCGGTATGGCCGCGCATGCGTCCCGCCCTGTGAAACGTTGGTCCTCACTTTGCCACCCCAAGATATAAAGACAGTGACACACACCGCGCTGTGTAAAGTTCGGTTGATATTGGATATTCGGCGGATATTCGCGTTTCGCCCCTCCTATCGCTCACAAACAACCTCTTACAAATTCTGAATCAACATTTTCTAAGTCGTGGTAAAACAGACAACAAACTACAATCTTCATATTTCGTCAAAGTACTCGATCTTTCCACTTCGCCGAGTACTTTTGATGAAAATAGCCGGAATCGCTGCAGTAGGCGCCGAAAACGATAAGGGACCGTCGGTAAAGTGCGGGTACTGCTTAAAAGCGTAAAACATTAAAAGACATGAGCGTGTTGGCGTTATTTATAAAGATTTTAAACCTACTGAAATGCAAAGATGATGTGAAAATCAATAACCGACACTAGATGTAACAAGTATACATCTGACCTGATCTGACAAACATACTACAACCTGTAGATTGATAAAATGTGCCTTAGTTGAATTGCTGAGATTATTTTTTATATGTAATTAATTGCTACTGTGAGACGCCCATAAGACATACACAGCTAAAGTCACTTGTAGTGTACAGGTACCCATCTTGCAAAAATAATACAACCATTAGTTTGATAACACATTTCTTTTTTTGATTTTTTATGACATTTAAATTCCTACTGTGTCACGTACATATAACATACAGATCACTTGTAGTGTAGAGAGACATGCCTGACAAACATACTACAACCTTTACTTTGGTAAAATATGCCTCAACTGAATTTTAATTAATTTTATTAATTTTAATGAATCACTGCCCAACCCTGCTTGTGACAATCTGTGCATAGTTCCAGTCCTGATCTCACATGCTTTAGAACATACACCTGTTCAACATCTTTAAGAGCATCTGAATACTAGAGTCGGGTGTGGTGGAACTACAACCCTGCTGGGTGGTAGCTTTTAGGTGTAGAGTTGAGTATTTTTGAGCACCCCATTTCCAAAAAAGTTGGGAAAAAAATTTCTAATTTTGATTCATTGGACCACAGGACACTTTTCCACTTCACCTCAGTCCATTTTAAATGAGACTGGGCCCAGAGAAGGTGACAGCATTTATGGTCCTGTTTATAAACGGTTTCTTCTTTGTGTTTTAGAGTTTTAACCTGCATTTGTGGATGCAGTGATGAACTGTTTTCACAGACAGTGGTTTTCAGAGGTGTTTCTGAGCCCATGCAGTGATTTCCTCTACAGAATAATGTGTTTTTAATGCAGTGCTGCCTGAGGGCCCAAAGATCACGGCCAGCAAATACTGGTTTTTGGCCTTGTCTCTTGCATACAGAGATTTCTTTTATCTTTTAATGTTATTTTGTACTGTAGATGATAAAAAACGACAGTTCTTTGCTATTTTACGTTGAGAAACGTTATTCTTGAATTGTTGCACTATTTGATTGTGCAGTCTTTCACAGAGTGGTGAACACCTCCTCATGTTTACTTCTGAAAGACTCAGCCTCTCTGAGATGCTCTTTATACCCAATCATGTTACAGACCTGATGCCAGTCAAACACCACGTTTGTTTTTTAACATTTCACAACTTTACCAGCCTTTTGTCGTCTCTGTCCCAACTTTTTTGAAACATGTTCAAAATGGGCAAATACTTTTCAAAAAACAATAACATTTCTCAGTTTCAACATTTGATATGTTGTCTTTGTACTACTGTCAATTAAATATCGAGTTTAAATGATTTGCACATCATTGCATTTTGTTTTTATTTACATTTTGTACAGCGTCCCAACTTTTTTGGAAATGGGGTTGGAAATGATCAAGCTTCAGACTTGTGAACTTTTTGGTGTCGCTCCACTCTCCTGTTCCACCAGGGGTTCTAGTGTCCTGCTCAGCCAGCCTCCACCACTGACCAGCTCCTCAAGCCTGTCCAAACTGCCAATCCCGTGGTCCAGATTCAGCCAATGTTTTGGGCTTTGGGAGCCTCACTTTATGTAGTGTACTCTTGTTTGGGACTGGCCTGGTGACTCCACTCACTTATTACCACACACACACTTTTCTAAGACTGAATAACAAACAAACAGTATTGATTTAATGTTTTAGGCACTTGAGAAAAAATGTATTTAAAAAGCTATTTAATTGGTCAGTAAGCAATTAAGAATGTTAAGAAAAACATAAATATTAGGATGAATACAAATTTCCAAACGTTCCAAACCCTCTTGGGGTTTCTAAACCCTTGAGGACATCAAGTAATAATTGTAGTTTTCGTCCAATAGCCGGTTTCGTTAATAAGTCTTTCATTGAATCAGAAGTGCTGGTTGTTGGATTCCATGTCATGGCTCAGGACATTAAGGAGAATTTGGGAACTAAACTTTGCTGCTCTAACCAGCTCACAATATCTCAGGTACTTTTAAAAACATAGAAAATGCTTATTACATTTTACTGCACTGACTGTAATACTTGTTTGTATTAATTTGAATGTTATATTGTGTTTTTACAAGCCAAAATATGCTACAGCCAAGACAAATGGTTTTAAATGTAAAAACTTTGGTCTCTTGCCTTGCAAAGTGGTGCAGCTTTCTGAGTGCATTTCTTAACCATGTTCTTGTTCTGCAATATTTCTTGTTTTAAACATTCTTCTAACCATTCGCCTAGTTTGTGCCTGCTTACCGATGTACTGACACCTTCCTCTGATGACTATGAGAGTCAGATTGTCCCTAATAAAGAGGGTCGATGCATGTATACTACCGCAGCATCCATTTGTTTTAACAAATAACGCAAACCTATTAAAAAAACTACAAATCTGAAGATTTTAATATTTTTAATTGTTTAGTTTCTAATAATTATGACTATTCTGACAAACTGTTGACATACAGATCTACAGATGTACAATTACCTTTAGTGTACTTACACACATCTCATAAACCTTTGGTTTGGAAAACATGCAATATATATAAGGAGTTTTAGGAGCATGTTATGCAAAGCTGCGCTGTGGGCATTTTAATTTTGGGCAATACATTTTAACTTTGACATGTTTTGCAGTCCTACTAGAATATTCAATATATTTGCACTAGAATTTTCCTGAAAAACATTTCTCAAGCAAACTACAGCCTTATTAGCATATTGTGGCAGAATTATTTTTTTCTGGAACAAATAATTTGTCGTACATGAACAACACACAGTAGTCTGATTGTCATTATTATTTCATGAATGAAGTGTTGCTGAGGCACATCCATGTGACAAAAATTATATTCATCTTTAAAAAACAAAGAAATAAAACGGACAAAAGTGTATCCAGTCTACATTAAGTACAAACTGCCATCAGTGTATCCAAAGATGTGCAGAATTAAAGTAAATATATTCTGGGGTACGAATTGCTGACCAGCTCACTATAACTTACACAACACTAAACTAACAATACAGTAAAAATGAAAAACTATTTGTTGCAATTTTTCTATTTTAAAAAATACTTACTTCGCAGTACATATATCTTCCTGAACTACTTTTTTTACACATCCGCTTCACACATTTCACATTGTCATGTTGTTTCCTTATCAGGAACAGCACCTGGTATCATTCTAAAGCAGTCTGCATGGAGCCAACTTTTACAAGTTCCACATTTTATATAAATAGCCAAATAGAAGAAAGTGTGTGATAAGAGTACCAGCAAATTTTGAATTCAGACATTTTAAAATTTTAGCATAATAATAATTTTCTGAGAATCTCTTAAAAACAAAAATCAGTGAAACAATGCAGCAGCCACACCAGAAACCAACTATCAAGATCTCTATGTCATATGGTTTTGACACAGCGGTAATTTATTTCTATACAAAATTCATTAACATTCAGTCGAGGCATATTTTACCAAACTAAAGGTTGTAGTATGTTTATCAGGCATGTCTCTCTACACTACAAGTGATTTTAGATCTGTAAGTCATATGGATGTGTCACAGTAGTAATTTATTTTCTATAAAAAATTCATTAAAATTCAGTCGAGGCCTATTTTACCAAACTAAAAGTTTTAGTATGTTTGCCAGGTGTGTCTCAAACCAAAACTCGTATGTTATTTGTATTATGTTGTTTAATTAAGTACAAGTTATTTTATTTTGCGGTAGGTTTGTTCAGTGTGTCTCAGTTCAATTTGTAGGTCCACTGCATACGCCTTTAGACTGCCTAATTTGCTAAAAGTGTATACTTAATGTCAGGTATTGATTTTCACATCATCTTTGTATTTCAGTAGGTTTCAGGACTTTATAAACAATACCAACAAACTGCTCGTGTATGTGGATGTTTTACTTTTTAAGCAGTACCTGCACTTTACAGACGGTCCCTTGCCGTTTTAGGCGACCGCTGCAGCGTTTCCACCTATTTTCATCATATCTACTCGGCTAAATGGAAAGATCGGTCTTGCCTAGCCTTAAGTTACCTTACATTACTTGCTGTGTTGTTTGTTCGTTCTAATGTTGTATCATGGTTTTTGTCTGTACAACTGTTGTTTATTTAAATAGCGATGATGTGAAGATGATGAAGGAGACTCTGCTGACACCGTCTTGCTTGTATAAGATGTTTATTACAAAGTAAAACAGTATCATATCAAGCACTATAAAGTACCTGAGAGGGGATCCGTGCCAATTCTAAAGTGTCCCCTCCAGAACAGAATATCCCAACTGCTTATATAGGGTACTGTTTTTGAAAAAGAAGACAGAACATATGGTCCTTTTTAAAGTGATCTCATCTATTTGGAACTAAGAGAGGCCTACTATGGGGCCTTTGGACCAGGTGCCCCCTTAACTTAAACATTCCAAACCTGCAAAAACAGGACACATGGAACTTCAGACCTCAACTTATACTGAAAGTTAAGAGTGTTTTTGCCTTCTTTTATAAAGCTACTCTTTTAAATATACCTCATATTTAGAGGCTTCCTCAAAGT